CAGCCCCTTCTTCTTCCTCTTCCTAATCCCTGCTGTTGCCGCAGTGAGCATTCAAGAAACACTTTGTGATGGGAGCATTTTTAATTGCAAACATGAGGGTTTTCCCTTTGTGTTTTATGTGACCAGCGATGCATCAGATAGAATGGTGTTCAACAGCAAAGCCACTTCATGGAAAAGCTTGCCTATAGGACATAATATGCTGAAGTGTTTTTGCAATGTTTCGTCCCCTGTTTAATGGGTCCTCTTTTACTTACAACTTCCTGTGCATATGTGGACTGTGTCAGCTGCATGTTCTCAGTTTTCATACACTGCATCATAGTGGTAGCTGCGCCATTCATCACAGTTCGTCCTTTTCTCCACGTTTATGTCACAAAAAAAGGTGGATAGAGAATACGTGTCAGATATTTATCGATGCATGGCGAACGCGTTAGGAATCACAATATCGCCCTCGTTGGCTGTTTAGTAGGAGGAAAAGGAGGAGAAGGGGAAGGGTGTGGTAAGTCGACCCATTTTTTGATTATTTTAAGGAAATTTTGTGTCAAACGGTTTGGGGCACTTTACACTGCAAGGACGAACTCTTCACAGAGTGGATTTACACAACTGCAGTCTCCATAATTGTTATTTGTCCCCTATGGAAGATATTCTTTCATCGTTTCTTCCTCCATTTTCTGTGTTTGTGTCCCTTCTTAAAAGGATGCTTGCGAATGTGATCCACAGCTCTCCTACACCCATTCCAACACGAACCTCGGAGGTGGGGAGAGCGAAGAATGTGAGAGATGCAGGTAGAGAGAGAACTGAGGCTACAAGCCGAAGAATAACAGGAGTTTTCTCTTTCCACAGAGCCCAAACAATGGCAAAACGCTGCTGTTTACTTCCTTTTCCATGCAATGTATTGATAAATTTTGCAGTCCTCTTCCTTTTTGACTTACAACTGACTGTGTCAAATGGAGAAGGCAGCCACCCTGTCAATCAGAATTATGCTTGCAAGCAGTAAGAGACGTCAGATTGTCACACAGCTACCAACTCCTTCTCCTCCTCCTTTCCTTCCACTTTCAGTGTTTCCTTCATAAGGAGCATAACTGAAAAGTTGTATTCTGGACGTATCTTGGGTGGGAACTGTGAGTGTCCCTTTCGTTCCCTTGAATAATAATGGAATACTTGATATAAGTCAGGTGCTGCATTCATCAAACATTTATTCGCAGGCAGTATTCTCGATCTTCATGTCCAAATAAAACTCTCCTATTTTAACTTCTAAATTTGCTACAATTTGTAACAAAGTGGGGAAAATACTTGATATCACCATTCCCAGTTAATAGCCGCCACGAATTTTGACCGAACATCTGAGTAAACATCACTAATGAATTGAGCGGTTCCCCCTAGGTTAAGAGGTCTTCTTCGCAACTGTACCACGTACATTATTGAGTCATCATCATCATCAGCAGCAGCAGCAGCAGCAACAGCATCGGTACCAACACCAGCAGTATGAGTCGTCGCAGCAGTTGCAACAGGCCTCATCCACCACACATCACTCGATGCCATCGGGGATGTACAGCCTCAGTGA